GATAAGGATAACTGTAATGTATCTGTGGTCTAGTAGTAGAATGCTAGACAACTACCCACTTGGTTTGAGCCTTTACTCCCCACTGATGAACTCCTAGACCTCGATTAGTTTACTAGCCTGTAGTGAGACGGGAAAAAGGGGAAGGTTGGACGTGAGACTAGTAACCCTACCGCGTAAAACAATAAAGAATACTGCCGAGAATTCGAAGCTTGAAGCCGTATGTTCCACTCAGAACACAAGGAATAATACAAAGACAGTAGTCTTTATTTTTGTTAGATGAACCAAAACGGAAACAACATTGAGTCATTTTACAGATTTTCTAAATATGTATATATACATATATGTATACCAGTTTAATTCTATTGTAAATATAGAAGACAAGGGACTTGGTAACGGAGTGTTATTTCGGAATTTGATATCTCCAAATTTGTAGAAATTATATACACCTCATATGAAAACAGTCATTTGCACAGATCTTTCATGTTATTCTGCTCTTTGTGTCTTCCATATCATGCCGCCACTCTGCTTTATTTGCTCTCTTTGACGTCAAATCTATCTCTCCGCTATCTGATATATTTATGTGCCGATGAATATCTCTTTATATACTACTGATAAATTCTTGTCAGTAGCGCACGCCACACCGTATCTGTGTAAAACCTATGCTGAGAGGTATCGGAGACAGGAAAAGCAAATCTCGAAAGTGAAAGAAACTCGATCATAAAATATTAATTTCAACTATATTATCCCATTCTTTGGAAAAACACTGACGACTCCCCTGAATAACATTAGCAATAACTTCATATTGTTACACTGAATTTCCGGTTCTTTTATCTTGCAAAGCAGTTGGTTTAATTCTCAGTTCTTATTAACTGCTTTATTTTTAGAAGAATAATGAAGATTTTTCACTTGTAATTATAATATTATAAGCTATATTTCTTAATTTGTAGTCATTTGGTGGATGGTAACTCCCAATGGAATCCAGCATGAACATTTCATCTTATTAGCGACGCGTCATCTAGATATGCCTGCATTCCCGATTGAGTGGTGGATGGTGTTCCAGCTAAGACTCAAAAGCCCGATACTCATCGTTTCAAATGCTAAAGCGTTATCCACTAGACTTCTTTGGCCACGACAGCCACCTCTTTCTTGTGCAGTAGGCATTAATTATCACACGTTTTCACTTGAACGGTTCGTTCCAATTAGTCAACCGTAAAATCAAAGTTGAATTTAAAAACAAGTGACATATCTCTCAATCCTTATTTCGCAAATGTTAAAAGTAAAACGTTGGCAATCAACCCAACACTATTCAGCTATGGATTAAATTCTGAAACCAATAACTGTGTGAAAATCAAGACATGAAGGCAAATCCAGGAAACTAGTTTGTTTAGCAGTCAATCTAACAAAATTAATCTGATGCTCACTAGCGACTGGCCCTATTCAGGCAGTTAAGCTGGGGTACTAGTCGGAAGCCGTGACTGGTAGGCTGCAGCAGGTTGAAGGCAGTAACTCATCAAAGAAGACACTGGCTTGTGGTCGCGCTATGTTATGAATTGGCAGAAGTTAGAATTCACGGACTGGCCATTGGATCGCGTCCCTGTGGTTTAATGGTCTATGAGCTCGCCTTTTAACCAGAAGGTCCTGGGTTCGAACCCCAGCGGGGTGTGTGCGTGCTAATGAAGAGTCTCGGAGCAAGGTGAGACAACTGTCCAGTGCTCCATGCAGGTATTCCAATGGTTCTCTAACTGATGTCAGCTCATGATGAAATCCTCTAGCCAATCAAACAAAATTCCCTCCAAAAACCAATACTTGACAATTATTTAATTTAATTTTGATAGTATTGGGTATTAGCTTGTGTTCGATAGGTTTTATTAGGGAATATGTGGGCTTAAATTCCTTTATGTCTAGACCTAAAGCATAAATGCACGGTGCTACATACTACTGAATACTTTAGGTGAGTAGCTGGATGCAACTCATATCAACTAGTAGCTCTTGCTAGCCAGATCGAGGCGATCTGAACAACAGATGACTGTTTCACCTGTTTGGGGACCAGATTATCAGAGGTGTATCCTGTGTGACCCAGCTCAGGAAGCCGAATCAGTTCACACCACAACGAATTGTGGTTAGCTACTTCAACAAACTGGTAATGCATCGGACCAAACCCGCAAATTAATTGGCTATTTGTAGTCTGCATATTCGGATGTAAATCTCACCACATTTTCCTTTGGACACCGAAATTATTCAGATTACCACTGCTTGTTTCAGTTATTCAATCAGTAGTCTATAGTATCATGCATTTATGCTTGCCTTCTTGATCACTATTCACGGTATCAAGTAGATCACACATTATGACCTGAATAATTTCGGTATCCAAAGGAAACTATGGTGACGTCTCACCTCGAACTGTTTAAGTTGCAGACTACAAATTTGATCCAAACCTAAGGGAGTTTTGAAAACATCACTCACTTCAAGTACAACTCGCATTATCTCATATAAAACTCTTTAAACCAATTTACCCGTGTTTAACTGCACTTCTATATTCAAAATAAGACTGAAATTCAAACAGAAATCCTTGATCTGCAGTATTATTTATTCTTCTCCTTCATTACCACGATCGTTTTGTTATTAATGATTGTGTTACTTGTTATCAAACATTTGAAAATGCTAAAGATGGTTTACTAGGAGGTGAGAGGGGTCGGTTTTTAACATACGTTGGTATATTAGTGGTCTAAGATCTGAAAATTTGCCGGTTGCTTCTACCAAGAATCAAACAGATATGATACAAAATGGAATAACTAGGCCTACTTGGTAAATTAAGAAAAATCTAAATTCTCCTAGTTCAGCATAAATAAATGCATTTTTCTATAGGATTTTCGGTGATTTTTGATTAATTTTAATTATTATATTTTCAAGTGTTGGTTTTTAGGGATTTTATTTGATTGGTTGTAGGATTTCATCATGAGCTGATATCAGTTAGAGAACCATTGGAAAACCAGCAGGGAGTTCCGGACAGCTGTCTCGTCAGCCTAGTTTGAAACTCTTCATTAGCACGCACATTCTGGGGCTCGAACTCAGGATCTTCTGGTTACAAAGCAGTTACCTGGGGTTCTAGTGGCAAGCCGTGACCAGTAGGGTGCAGTAGGTTGAAGGTGAGGCAGTAACTCATTGAAGAAGACACTGAGAAGTGGCCGCGCTATGTCATGAATTGACAGAAGTTAGAATTCATGGGCTATTATTATTTTCGTCAGGAACTGACACCATTTAGGTAGATCATTGGAAACTGGAGCCCACTGAACAACCGTTTTATCCTACCTTGAGACTCTTCATAGTGAGAACCCATGACCTCAAAACCATGGGTCGAATGTGGGACCTGCAGGTTACGAAACCAAGCTCGTTTTCCATTTAGCCAATTGGGCAGGAATTCAATGATTCCTGAATTCTAAATTTGTCAGTTTGTGTTACAGCGCTGCCCTCACCAATGACGTCGGTGAGCATCCACTTCTAGGTGACATGATCGATCCGACTGGTCATGATTTCCCGCTGCAGCTTCAGGAATTCTATCCAGCAGCCATCCAGGGAGTTGGCGATTGATATTCAGACTATAGGATTTATGGGGTTTTCGGATTAATTTCAACAGTTGGATTTTCGTCACTGGTTCGTTCCCCGGCTGAGTTGTTGATGTGCACTGATAAAGAGTCCCAGTCAAGGACGAGACAGCCGTCCAGTGCTGTCTCCCTCTAATTAAAGCTGGTTCATGAAGAAAATGTAAAAATCGAAGATTTTTAAATAGGAACATGAATACGAGCAGTCATCCTTTATGACCATAAAACAGAGTTATGCATCATCACGATTATTTCACTGACCAACATACATCCACATTAGGAATTGACTACATCATCTACGTGAGATAACAAGACCCCAAACAGATAACATTCTTCACGTGATATTTCAGCACTACAACTTCAATCCTAACAAATTCAAATGATGGATAAGGCATTTCAGGTCATTAATTCTCTTAAAGAATCCTGTCAACTGCACCAGCGTGACCCGATATGAGCCTTGATTTCAATCATTTCAGAGCAGAACTATAACACTGTAGTCAGTGTGCATTTTCAAATGTCCTATTCATTCTTTCGCCTTCGGAGTAGAACGTAGGAGGGCTTCAAGCTTGAATCTGGAAGTTTCACTAGCGATGGTGATTTTTTTCCGTGATGGATTCCTAGGTATAGGTGCTGCCTAATTCCTCTAACAAGTATATGACAATTCGTTTTAAGAATAACAAGAATAATAATAATAATCAATAATATTGATATTTTATTAATCGGTATTGAAGAAAACAATGTTAAGTACAGCATATATATATGTCTTTCTGTGTCTGTTTTAGAAGAAATCAGCATAGACTTCAACTGACCAACTGATTGATATATGAAGTACAAGTAATAAACGAGGAGGAAGAGGAGAAGGAGTAGAAGAATACTAAGACTAGTAAGTTTGAAAAGAAGACAGAAGAAGAAATCGAACTAGTCACAAAAGGAATGTTATCTTTTATAACCACAGCAGAGAAAAACAACACCTTAAATAATAATAATGTTTAGCTTTAAAGACTTGAAGAAAATCTTATAGTTTCAATAAAGAACTGAGTAAATCATTAATACACAATTATTCTTCACAGAGAGAAGATTGAACATTCATATCACTACTGATAGATATATTTAAGTAATATATATATATAATATGTATATATAATATGTATATATATAAGGAGAAATCATTTCAAATTGAAGTTAATACTAATATGTTTGAATACTTTAATGATGGATTAACTAGCTGACTGTTGTCCATGTTGTGTAATTGACCACCTTCTGACTATTCACCTGCCTTGTTGACAAGTTCCAAGAGGTGACGGAAAAAAGCTGGAGGAATGTTTGTTTTTGTCGTTCTATTTACTGTACAGTAAACTGTAGGCGTAAATGAATATGTATATTTATTTATATAGAGAATGCACATAAGTAATAGATTAATTACTTCACCGAAGATGTTTAGAAAAAAGAAGGAAAAGAAACCGAAACGGCAGTTATGAAAGATTTAATTTATGCAACAGTTTTGACAACACAAAGTATGCAAATAAATAAACAAAACGGAATGGCATCAATTTGATTTTGTTTAAAATAACTCAGCTTTAGATACTACTCCAAAGCAAAAAAAAGACACTACAACTCTTGAATAGCTTCCATTTTCGTAACAATATATATTGTGAAATTGACAACGAGTATATAACTCTTATAACACTACTAAGTTACACAGTCATGGATAAGTTACACAGAGCATAATACAATTTAAGTGAGAATAAGTAATGCTCAGTTTAAATTGAAAATAATCACAGAAATAGTCTGTTTGCCTCTCTCTCTCTCCGTCTCATCAGCTGTCTGCTTCCATATTTACTTATGTATTATGTGGTAAGGCAATGCTTTATCGATAAGAGTCAATGGTTATTCTCATTACTGTTGAGTGATGGGGGTCTGTCGTATCTCTCTGTCGGTGATCTATTAGACAAATCATTACCATTTTGATTATACAGTGTATGCTCATCGGATTCTGTGGAATGAACAGACGAGGATCGATTTGTAGGAGGTATACGTGAAGATGGCGATGATGGGATTGAATGAGTATTATTACTGTTACTGTTATTGACCGCTTTCGGTGATGTTGAATTCTGTAGGCTGGTTAAAGCGAAAATAGAAAAATCAGTCGACTTCTGTTCATTATTGCTTCTACATTTGGACATAACTGTAACGTCATCGCTATTTACGACATCAACTGTCGTACTGTCGTTGCTCGTGGTAGCATTACCAAAGTCATTGCCATCATTGGTGCTGACAGGTGGTGGACTAGTAACTGGGATTTTACTATTCTCTGTAATTGTAACACTATCATTAAGCAATGGGTTGGATGTGTTAGTCATTTGATTTTTTGGATGAAAAGGATTTTGATAAAATAGTGATAATATATGCGGTATAAACTGAGGATATTGTTGCATATAGAATGCAAGATTTGAAGCATAACTTGACAGGGGATTAATTCCACTGAAAACATCTCCATGTACTGCTGCATCATCCAACTGTTGAAATGACTGGGAGTAGTCTGTTGAAATTCTTGTTGAAGAAGAATGCTGGACCGGTGGTGTTGTAAACGACGATGTTGATGGATGATGGAGTTTCTGCTCCATTAACTGATTTTGAATAAGTTGTGAGGTGAAATGATGCGTCCATGCAGATAAGAATTTGTTGAATTGACTAGGATCATTCTTGTCTGTGATGGTTGGGTTTTTATGCGAAAATCTAAATTTATGAGCAGTTGTTTCATCATCACAGTGTGACAAACTTTCATTGTTATTATTATTATTATTAGTTGTAGTAGTAGTAGTAGTAATGGGATTATTAAACCGTCCACCTGATTCACCAGGGATAACTGTTACATTCGGTGGAATCTCACCAAACTTAGGAAGATGTGTTAAATAATTATGCTTTGGATCTGGTTGACATGGATTAAGCAAACCACCTGGTGTAGTTGGACAAAGAAATGATGGCGGCGATGATGTATTCCGTAGAGAATCCAGGTCTTTGTGATAATTCATCCCGTTATTACTCACACTGAAATCTGTCTTGTACATAGCACTTTCATTTGATGCATAGAAATGTTGATCAGATTGATTGGTACGACGGATTTTTTCCACTCTACTGCCAAGATCACCTAATCCTTTTGATCCCATACCTGTGACAGTGAAAATAAAATCAGTGATCACTTACTGATAAGTTGATAGGCACAATGACATCAACGAAAAATTATTATAGAAGAAACAACCATTCAATTAAAGCTCACTTACATGGAGTATAATAATGTTTATGCGTACGTCTATCGTAGTCTCAACAGAAAGGCTTTTCAATAAAGTAATATAGTTATTAAGTGAATGTTGACTAACAGTGGAATCGACGATGCTCATTTTGCCCCATTTACGACTCGTCAGCTGTATTTGCCTGCCTTTCTCAACTCAATACTCCACGTTTCGAACGCTGAAACGTCATCCACTAGACCAATATGGCAACGAGAACCACGCTTTGTGCAACAGGGATAAGTCATTATTTTGTCGAAGTTAATTTTTGTTTTTTGTTTTTATCTCCTGATCGACTAAAGCGAAGTTATTATTTTAGTGGGAATATTATCACTCACTGGGGATTACAGGTACATCTAGGTGATGAGTTCCAAGATAGCACGAAATGCACATCCCTGGATTCCACTGTTAGTCACAATCCATCTGATAACATCAGCATTACTGCTAAGATATCATCCAAGTGTCCTCACTGAGGACCAACATTTCAACATAGGTTGGAGAATTCAGTCCAATCAATCAAGGGGAAAAGTAAAAATCGACTTAAACAAAGCAGGATAATGTTTAATTTAGAGATTTAAACATGTTTTAATGTATCAGTTAGTTGTTTTTGTTTAGAAAAGACTCAGCTTTTTATTTAGTTATATGGACGATCCAACTACTAAGATGCACTAGAAACGGTAAACAAATATGAAAACCTAGTTTGGGACTCTTCAGCAGTACACACCCACTACAGGGCGTCGATCTCACGACCTTCTGGTTACAGGGCTAGCGAGCTCGTAGACCATTAAGCCACTGGGACCCACCTGATCCAATGGCCAGTCCATGAATTCTAACTTCTGCTAATTCATTACATAGCGCGACCATTTCGCAATGTCTTTTTCGATGAGTTACTGCCTTCAATGGTTGTCTAACTGATGCCAACTCATAATCAAATCCTTTAACCAATGATACAAAATCCCTACAAAAACCAATACTTGAAAACATGAAAACTATTGAAAACCATGCGAAATTGAATACAGACTGATAAACAGTGTCTCACAGCGTATAAAAGCCATTATTAGTGATAAGTTTTCATAGATTTTTGAGGGAATCCGGAAAGATGAAGAGAAAAGGATCTTTGTTTCTTGTGTATTTTTGCCAGTCCACTGGTTTCTTTTATTCCTTTACGTTCCCAGCGGAACATAAGGTTTTAAGCTAGAGGCTTGAAGTTTCTGTAGCATTGGTGTTTATTTTTACGGGATTAGGTTGCTAGTCTCATGCCCAACCTTCCCTCTTTACCAGTTTTATTACTGGCTTAGCGAGGTAAAGGAGTGCGTCGGTGGCCGGGGATCGAACCCCGGACCACGTAAGGCGTGGTTAGTGAGCATTCTACTGCTTTGCCACCGACGTACCAGTCCACTAATGACTGGATTTTACTCGTACTACGATTTAGAATAGCAGACCAACCTACTGCCTAAATAGTAACACTTACATTCAGAACTACCTTCTATACCTGAAGAACGTATGTATTTCGTCTAATAATATATCCTTAAATAAATCAAAATAGATTATTAAATCCCTCTAGTTTCTAGTTTAACCAATGTGAACTTGGGACTACGCCAAGAGGACAAACACTGGGAATTATTCAGCCTGAATGTGAATTGTCTCAGATAAAAAAAATTATCACAGACTGATGTTATACGGTACTGAAATGTCTTATTTTGTGACCGTATAAGTCAAAGTAATATATTTTTAAGTATTGACTCTCACTACACTTGCAATGGACGTAATCTATCTTATTAGTCGACAAGTAAATTCTATCTAACCTTTTTTTTCTGTCTCTTCATTAGTATTATTTTGTCTTCTCACTTGTAATATTTTACATTTTCAACTTTCTTGTTTTCTATCTCCACCCGATTTAATTTCTACTCCTCACTACCACTTTTACTGACTTGAACAACGCTCAATTTCTAGTCATTTATGTTACGTCATCCAACTTATTTGCTCAGTTTCACTTCTACTTATTCTGTACCTGTAATTACCTCTGTCGCTACCCTAATCTAAGTTGAAACATTTTAGTCAATTGTATTACGTCATCTAACTGACTAACTCAATCTTACTTTAGTTGCTGTCTGATTAACTTTGTTTCTATATTAGATCATTCTTGTATTAACTAATCAAACCTCATGTACACACACACACACAAATATTTATATATAAATGCGATTGTACAGCTATGCGAATGAATTCGCCGAAAAGAGTCTCTTCGCTGAATGTCTTCTCTTTTTCATATGACTCAATGGGGATTTTCAATCTACTCAAACGTTGCAAGGACCCAGTGACGGTGAAGGAGCTGGATGGTTTCCTGCGTTACTCCGCCAAGCTTGCGGTAGCGGAGACAAAGATTGATTTCTTAAGAGATTGTATAGATCGACATGAGTATCCAAAGATGTATTGGAAGTCACTCAGACGCAACCATATCCAACCGAATACCAGAACACTCAGACGACACACACGAAATAACATCGACTCCATTCAATCACGCGTCCCCGAGCTAGAGCGAAACGTCTACTCAAGAGCTCATGCAGTCGAAGACTTAGATCAAGAACTACGCCATTCCTTCGAGGAATATGTACAACAAGTCACTCAGAAAGAATGTAACAAGACTAAAGCAGATCTTCTCAAAAGCCTAAAGCCTACAATTAATACCGAATCTCCGTTCCCAAGCAATCCAGAAAAGTACGTATTCAATCTTTCAGACATCACACTGTCTACTACTCAACTAGAGGCATTATCTCTAGGTCCAAAATTCTGCGTAAAACCACCAAGTATTGACAAGCTACAATGCCAGGTTCAGTTCGAAAATCTAGTAAACCAAACGTACAATCTCACACCTACATCAGACGAAAACCCACAACAATTCAAAGCATCAATCCTTGACTGTTGTCACAAGTTTATAAATACCAAACACAACGGAAGGTCCATCTTGACGAAGAGGCACCATAAGGAGCTGAAAGAACTTATGAAAAACGAAGAGATTATGATATTACGTCCTGACAAAGGCGGAGGAATCGTAATCATGAATCGCAAGGACTATATCAGTACCTAATTAATTATCTAAACTTGACAAACCTCATGTACACACACACACAAATATTTATATATAAATACGATTGTACAGCTATGTGAATGAATTCGCCGAAAAGAGTCTCTTCGCTGAACGTCTTCTCTTTTTCATATGTCTCAGGGATTTGATTGATTTCAAGATTGATTACGAAATTACTTCATTCAGACAACCATTGAAAGTCACAGAGGACTGCATAGTTTGAGACATTTCACCAGTACGCACCTATCATCAGGGTTCGAATCCAAGCCTTTCAGGTGGAAATGTGAACTTGTTGACGACTGAGCTATTTAATTGGAGCTCAGGTCACAGTATATAGCGCGACTACCAACCACTCTCATCAGTGAGTATCTGTCCTCACACCGAACTTGGTGGACACTTCTAGTCATGACTTTCCACCAGGACTCTAGGTAACTTCTTCCTGTAGTCAGTCACTAGTGAGCACTAGATTGATTGGAGTCAGTTCATAATGAATCTTGGAACATGTATTTTGTTACAAAAGAATACAAGAGAAGCTATACAGTCATTGCATCAATTGTGCTTGACCTGAATTCTTTATTTGTATATCCTACACTATTATATAAGAGAGGAGTATTCTGTAGCGACCAAATTTATTCGGTTATGGTCTGAACGCAAGAAACCGATCTCTACATTCTACTGTATAGTCGACAAAACTTCGTTGAGACACACGCTACTACGAAACGTTCCTAACTCAGGGAAAAGAAGAATATTCTCCAGTGTTTTAGCGGTTCTCTTAAATAATATTAATGTCAAACTCAAATTTACCTCAACAGTGCCGTGAGGCAGCTAGCTCTATACAGGAAAGGTATGTTTCTAAATACAAAACAAGTACTGTAAGACAAAATTAGTTAACTGAAGTTCAGCTGTAAAGGGTACCTTAGAATCAAGGAGAATATCCCCGACGAGGTGGGATCACAAGCTCTGTCCACAAGAAGCACACCAACGCTTCCCGCAAACAATCCCGAGTCAGAATGACCCTCATTCACTCAAAAAAAAACTCATCGTTAGACAGCACACTGTCAATGTACATACTACCACAAATAAGTATTACAATTAAAGATTAAACAAAGAAAAAAGCAAATTATAAAGGTCAAAATTCAAATGCAAATGTTAAATTAATGATATACAGTCTAGGGGGAAAAGGTATAATAATTACGGAGTTAGTTAAAATGTCCAAATAAGTATACATATTATAAATAGATCGTCCAAGAGGGATTTTCTAAACAGTTTATCCATTATGCCGGCCACCAAAATCCCTCCACACACTTTAAGACACCCTTTAATGAGTTATGTCATGCTTTTATCCCTTACACCTGAAATCTATAATTCACAACAGTACGCCTGCACAACCCCACCCTAGCCTACAGCTCGTCAGATCCTTCAAGAAGCCAGAGTCTTCTGTCCGATTTCCCCCATCCACTTTCTCGTGTAGCATTAAATATGAATTTGATGTGTGCATATTACTTCTGAAATTTAAACTGGGTCCTAGATACGACCCATCACCCAATAAAGAGGTATTATGACTAACAGTGCTTACATAACTTAGACCATGTACACTGGCACACGGTAGTTCTGATAACACTGTGATGTATAGATGGGCTTCAACTAACTCATGTGCATTTTGCGAACGTTTTCGACACAATATCAACAAACTGAAGAATACACTTCCAACAAACCAGGTAAAAAGAAAAATGACACTATACAGATCGTAGAATTCAATCCGTAAGGTAAACATCAGTCTTACATCGAACCAAGTAAGCCTTCAGAAGTATTCAGTTACAATGCTAGCTAATAAACTGTTCCGAATGAGAGAGAAGCTTGCACAACATAATGTTGTGTAGAAGCCTACAAAGACAGTTGAAATATCAAATGCAAAGCTTTTAAAAATACTCAGTAAACCCATTACCAATGCTGAGATTATGAGTAACCAATCAATAATAATAATAATATATTCAAGTATTGGTTTGTAGGGACTTGACTGATTGGTTACAGGACTTCATCATGAGCTGACATCAGTTAGAGAACCATTGGAGAACCAACTGCGAGTACTGGACAGTTGTTTCGTCAGACTAGTTTGGGAATCTTCATCAGTACACACACACACACCACTGGGGTTCGAACCTATGGCCACTGGATTGGGTCCCAATGGCTAGTGGTCTACGAGCTCACTAGCCTTGTAACTGGAAGGTCGTGGCTCCGAACCCAGGTGGGTATTTACTGATGAAGAGTCCCAAACTGGTGAGACGAAACAGCTACCCAGTACTCTCAGGTTTTCCGATGGTTCTCTAACCAATGTCAGCTCATGATGAAATCCTGTAACTAAATAATATATTCCTTGGGTTAAAACTTTTCTAACTCGAACAGATCAGCCATTATGGAATAAAACTTCAAACTGTACAATGATTGATGACACCCCACAGAGACTAGGTGATTATCTTGCCGAGGTGAATATCTTTCTGTCAATAAAATATCAGTTGCCTAGTTTATATGTCATGCAAATGGCTTACAGATGAAAAACATTTGTCATCCAACGAAGCGTGAAGCAATGGGCATTAGAATGTAAAAGGGATATCAGATGTGGACTTTATATTTCCTCTTTGCCATTATTATTATAACTATTATCACCGTCATGCTTTTGATCTATGTCACATTTTGAAGCACTTTGATACTTCTTTTATGTTATAAACCTTAGCAACGTGCACACAGACATATGAGTATAGTTTTGATTTTTGTAATTATGCAAGGAATGCAGAATAACGAATGCGTCTACTCAACTCAGCTCAGTAGGAAGATGTGATTACTTTGTGATAGATAATGTGTAAAAGCGTAAAAATTTCACTCATGAACTCATTGAAAATAAACCCTATTAAACTTGATATTGCTTCTTCAAGCATAATCTATCCCGCTTCTGCCTTCTTCTTTTTTTCTGTTCTTGAGTAAAGTTCCATTAACCTATTAATTTGTGTCAACACGTGTAGTCAATAAAGAGTCATTTACACACGCCTACACACATACACACACGCACTCATCTATATTGGTCGACTCTACTTTTTAAAGCCTTACCAATGACTGTAAATTAAACCGATTTCCTTCTCATATCTTCTCGTCTGACCTTTAATTTTTCATCGACATTATCTCCGAGTATTGTAATTATCATTTTATGTGTTGTTTGATAATTTCTTTCTTTTTCTTTTTTTTAACAGCAAAAAATTCGTTTCCCCTTTTTCTAGTCGTGTTGTGTGAGTAGACGATGTATACAGGAAGATAGAGAGAGAGAGAGACAGAAAAATGGCTATCGGGTCATGTTTTCTTTGTGTACAACTGGGTATATGTATTTGCTTCAGTTCTCACACACACACACAGACATAAAAACGATTAGATGTGTAAAACTGCCCGCATGTCAAATTATTTCAAAGTTAACAGCATAGAAAATAAATATCATGGTAGATTTCGTCTATAACAATAACAATGACAACAACAATTGACATGAGTTAGAGAATCACTAAAAAACCATGCATGATACACTGGTAGTTCAGGTCTCTTCAGTAGTCTGTATGGATGAAGTCACTTAGAGATGAAGTTCAAGGCAGTCAGGTCACAAGACAAGACACTTGATCTTTATTGTTTCCAACAGTCCTCTAGCTGATGATGATTGAAATCAATCAAATCCTTAAAACCTAACACTTGAGAAAGTAAACAAACATTGTTTCCCATACCTCATCGCCCCCCCCCCAATTCTTTGAGTTTCCACGTGCAATATAATGTATAAAGCAGCAGTGGCACTGACTTTACGAGCTGCGGTTGTTACCTTCATGTTCGACTTTCCTACTTTCTTCGGGATTTCTATAGGATAGTAAACTAGTCCAGGTTTAGGGGTGCATAGTAGTAGTAGTAGTGATTAAGGCTTATCAACTGGAATTGAATCTGAGAAATGCTCACTTAGTTTGTGTTCGTCATTCTTGACTGTTGTAACTATCAAGTTTTAATTCTTATATTTTATTCCTTTGCGTTCCCAGTGGAACATAGGGCTTCATGCTTGAGCTTTGGAGTTTCAGTAGCGGTGGTTTCCCTCTTTTTACTGGGTGAGGTTGCTAGCCTCGCGCTTGCACTTAGCAACGGCTAAGTGAGGTGTAGGAGTGTGTCGACCGAGAAATGAACCCAGCCAACATGAGTGGTTGCCTAACATTCTGTCACCAAACCACCGATGCAAAGTCCTACCGGATAACATAACGCTCATTAAAGATCACACGCTTACTAGAAGAATATTTTCATATGCTGTTAAATGATATGAGCATTAGATTAGATCTTGTCTATAGATTTGAAGTTAGTTAGTTAGTTAGTTAGTTAGTTAGTTAGTTAGTTAGTTAGTTAGTTAGTTAGTTAGCTAGTTAGTTAGTTAGTTAGTTAGTTAGCTAGTTAGTTAGTTAGTTAGTTAGTTAGTTAGCTAGTTAGCTAGTTAGCTAGTTAGTTAGTTAGTTAGTTAGTTAGTTAGTTAGTTAGCTAGTTAGTTAGTTAGTTAGTTAGTTAGTTAGTTAGTTAGTTAGTTAGTTAGTTAGTTAGTTAGTTAGTTAGTTAGTTAGTTAGTTAGTTAGTTAGTTAGTTAGTTAGTTAGTTAGTTAGTTAGTTAGTTAGTTAGTTAGTTAGTTAGTTAGTTAGTTAGTTAGTTAGTTAGTTAGTTAGTTAGTTAGTTAGTTAGTTAGTTAGTTAGTTAGTTAGTTAGTTAGTTAGTTAGTTAGTTAGTTAGTTAGTTAGTTAGTTAGTTAGTTAGTTAGTTAGTTAGTTAGTTAGTTAGTTAGTTAGTTAGTTAGTTAGTTAGTTAGTTAGTTAGTTAGTTAGTTAGTTAGTTAGTTAGTTAGTTAGTTAGTTAGTTAGTTAGTTAGTTAGTTAGTTAGTTAGTTAGTTAGTTAGTTAGTTAGTTAGTTAGTTAGTTAGTTAGTTAGTTAGTTAGTTAGTTAGTTAGTTAATAGTAATATGAACTGATCACTTATCTTTAAATGGCTTTAATAAAATAGATAAAATCTTTTTCTGATATGTATTATTAGATACACAAATTATATACATTATCCTACTTACTTTTTATAATGATTTCACAAAGAAGGGACGGTAAAAAGAATGTAATCAGTTAAGTAAAAACTACTTCAAAAAATAAAATCCCAACTTACGTTTACTTGAATATCTAACAGATTTTAAATCTGTTCTGTTTAAATGTAATGGCAATAATGTTTTCATAGAATTTATAGATAAATTATCTTTGTTGAATTGGCTGGATAAATGCATATCTAAGTCGTCCAAGTCATGTTCATTTTCTGTATCAGAGGAGGTGTTTACAGGACTTTCATAGATTTCACGTACATCCTTTGGATTGTCACAGTTATTATTGTTATGATTATTATGACTTATAGGCCGATTAGGATACTTTAAACTGTCCAATCTTCTGTAATGAAGAAAGCAGAAGAAATATACGTAAAGAGAAGAAAAGAAACCTTAGAAAAGTAGTATAATCTTCACATATGTGATTAGTTGAAAACGAATATTCAATAATTCTCTTTTATACACTTATCGCTTACTAAACTCAACATTCTACACTAAATATTCGTAGGAGTCATATTATTTATTGTTGTTATCCCCTTGGGTTCGAAGGGAACGAAGGATTTCAGAAGCTCATCTCCATTTCATCGTGTTCTCTGAAGACCTCTTTGGCACTAAGCTCTCACCTCCGCTTCACACAATCTCCTCCATGTCATCTTCGGACTCTAGCTTGTCGTTTCCCATTTGGGCTCCACTCGACAGCCTACCTGGAGTTCAATTTCACTGAACGGTCTTCTCAGCGTGTGTCCTATCCATCCCTATTTTCTTCGGAATATTTGTTGAGCAATAGGTTCTTGACTGGTTCGTTCCCAGAGTTCCTTTTCGCTAATCCATTCCGTCTAGTTATCTGATCTTCAGTACAGAGCCAGCGAAGGCAGCTGTTGATGAAAGTCTGTAGCAGTGTGTTAGAAATGCTTTTGGTGACGCGCCAAGTCTCTGAACCATATAGAAACAGTGACTGATTTGATATGATAAAATACTCTCCCCTTAACCTAGTCATCTTAGATTCAATCCCTGGTGTGATACTGGGTGCACATTGTTGAAGTAGCTACCTGGGGTTCCTTGATTTTCAATGATTCTCTCACTAAAGTCGGTTGGTGACGAAATCTACACTGAAGTTGATCTAAATCCTTTCAAAACCTGAAATTTGAAAACTATATAAGTTCGAAAAACACACTGGCATGTAAATTTCTGTCAACAATGACGCTGACTTTTTAGCTCGAGTTACTGAGACGGATATAAATGTAGATCGGATAATAAAGCTATTTGAGAGTAAGAAGAATAAAAGGCATCACTTAATTTAACAACTATGTGCCCAAAACTGATGAGTCAGTGAAGAAGCGTCAGCTGTCGAAACACTTGACCGCATATCTTATTATTGTGTAACTACATGGATTCGGAATAAGTTATATTGCCCAAAATGCAGTTAGTAGTCTGTCAGTAAAAGGTTTCAAACTACTATGTAACTTACTACTCAAATATACGATGTATTAAGCGTCTACTTAAGCAGTTTTCTCCCTTATAAATAAGGAGGCTAATCATAGACTCATTGTGAAACATTCTTGTCCCTGATTGGTGGGAAAGATGCTTTTCTAGTTTACTTTACTAAAGCCAATAGATTAACGTGTTTCTGTGTCTATTACACTTACCACTACTAAATGGGATTATTCAAAAGTCAATAATAAATGAATACTAAAAGAGGATCTGTCTTGACTGATTTCTAGCATAGTCTCTCTGACCATTAAATTGCTGAGTTTAGTCTTAGAAGTTAAAGAAGTTACATGTAAGTTATTTGGTTTTGGTAAGTTCTGTAACACATGCAGTTTATGAAGGTAAAACTGAGACAAAAAGTCTTGGTCGGCAGTATTATGTTAATGTATGAGAATAACTCTTGGACCTAACTGAATTTATCCTCGTCTTATTTTCCCTCCCTTACCTTCTCATTTTCTATTTCTTTGAGGAGTTTTCCTATTCAAAATATGTGGAAGCTGTTAACTGAGTATCGAAATGCATTTTGTTTTAAATTGGTGGATGGTGACTAACAGTGGAATCCAGGATGTACATTTCTTCTTATTTGAGACTTTTCACCGGACTTACTTACATTCGCTAGTCACTGATGGGGTTCCCACTGGGACAAGAAGCCCAGTACCTATAGTTTCGAACGCCAAAGCTTTATCCACTAAACCACTTGGGCCATGAAGACTCCCCGAATTGCTTTGATCCCCAGACATCGTCAAAGCATCCACACAAGGAGCCAACATGTCAAATGAGGCGGAGAACTTCGGTCAACGGGAAAGTTTGAAATGAATTAAGTGAAACATAAAAGTCTCAACTCACTTTTTATCCCGCCTTCCTCCACCGGATTCACGAAATCCTTTAGCAAAGGGATTATTGTCTATCTTCAGTTGTGTTATCTGTAAATTTTAATACGGCAATTAAATTAGACATTTAAAATAATGCACAAAATGGTGGGAAAAATAGTAGTGTTATAGAAACAAATAGATGTTTATGGGTATGTCAAAGAATACCTTTACCCATGAAAAAGAAGAAAAAATTCATCTTTTGTTTAAGTCAAGTTTGTTTCCCCTGTCGCGCTTGGTTGATTGGACCAAAATGTGCATCACTGTTGACAGAACTGACTTGAATAAGTAATAACTGACACCTGTTAGTATTAGATGGTTGGAAGCAATCGGCAGGAAGTCTTCGACCTAGGTTTCGTGCTAGCTGGCACTCATCAGAAAGGCGCATCTGCAACCTCGAAGGAATTCATTTCCCTTCTGAGATTCAGATCCGCGTCACCCAGTGAGCGCTGCAGTCAGAGACATTGTCACTGAGCTATTCGGGCTGGCTTGCGATTGACCTCCTGTAGGGCTGTATTGGATATTTTTGATAGGGAACTAGTCAGTAACTAGTGTAATGTGTGTGTGTGTCTAGTTCTATCTTTGGTGCAGACTGAATTCTATCAGTCAAGTTTGCAATGTGGCCACCATCAAGCTAGGTGGCTTGCCATCACGGTGCTTCCTGCCGATTGCCTCCAACCATCTAATACCAATAATTCACAGTGTACCGTGATGGCGAGCCACCTAGTGGCATGGTGGCCACATTGCAAACTTGACTGATAGAATTCAGTCTGCACCAACGATAGGACTAGACACACACGCACACATTACACTAGTTACTGACTAGTTTCCAGTCAAAAATAACTGCCACCTGTTGTACAGGAGGTGGTTGCTGTGGCTCAGGTGGTCTAGTGGATGACGCTTTGGTGTTCGAATCGATGGGTGATGGGTTTCAGTCTCAGTGGAAACACCATCATTCACTGTGGACTGCAGGTACATTCAACTGACGAGACCCAAACCACATGAAAGGCGCATCTTGGATTCCACTGCTAGTCAGCATCCAGCAAGTGAAATTCATCGTCTGTTCATGTAAAATATGTAATTTTTTGAAAAAGAGGCCTTTCATCAGACTTACTAAATCATTGGTATAAAACAAAAGTCTGTTCTGCAACTTCTTGAATTATCCTGTCACTAGGCGAATTTATCTTTTATTTGGCTTTGTGTAAATACCAAGTGGTGTGTATTCCACATTAGATACCGGCACTATGACTCATGGATATAAACGGTTTACTTTTAACCACTAAGCAATGATTTCAGACGACCTTCACACAATATTTATGTGACTGATTGACCAGCGAGTGAACCTGTGTAGACTTAATAAATTCTTCTGTTTTGTGATTACATGATAAACTGTTTATGCACCTAAAATTGTTCTCTTCTTCTTACCTCTTCTAACACAGCTAATCCTGACAACCATCAGTTAACTGGTAATTAATTTTTTCATTAATATTTTACTCCGTTGAGTTCTGGATGAAACATCGGGCTACAGGCTTCAGCGCCTAAGATTCACTATCACTGATGTGTTCTTTTTACAGGCAGAGCTGCTAGTGTCGCGCCCAACCTTCCCTCTTTAGCGCACTTACAACCGGTTAAGAGAAGTTTAAGAGTGTGTCGGCCGAGAATCACATCCCGGAGCATGTGCGTGGTTGGCGAGTATTATACCGCTTAATCACTTACACGCAAGATTACGTAATAGTAGCTTCATGAAATATTTCACATTAACCTGATGAACAATACACTCACTAGGTAACTTTTAAAATGCCTACTCACCTTTTCATTTTGATAAGCAGTGACCGCCAAGAACTGAGTCTCTTTGAATGTATATGTATGGAATTTAGAATAGGGCAGCCGAAGTATATCATTTGCACGGACCAAATGAAATCTTGGCTGATATTTATGCATTGAATTCAGTATTGTCTGTTGAAAAACAAAAGAGAATAAAAACAAGAGCTAATTACGATTCTGTTTAGCAAATATACATTATTATTATTGCTTATTGTTTTATTTTGTTCCTTTGAGTTCCAGTAGGACATAGGGCTTCAAGGTAGAGCTTTGAAGTTACAGTAGGATTGGAATTGATTTCATAGGGTGAGGTTGCTAGTCTCACGCCCAACCTTCCATCTTTACCAGGCTTAATACCGGCTAAGTGAGGTAAAGGAGTGCGTTGGTGGGGGGTTGAACCCCGGACTACTTGCTTGCATATATGAATGAAGACGGGAAGTTTTTCCAGGTGAATGAGGAAAGAAAAGATGAGGGAACAAAACTCTGAAGGACATCAACTTTAGTAGGCGGTGAATTGAAATAGTTGTGTATGTAGAGAAACAGAAATGTAACTAATTCATAATCCACTACTCAATATTTATTTTGGCAAGCTTATTGAACCAGAGAAATTTCGCGGTAAAATCAAAAAGAACTATAATGAAAATTACTCGAATCTCAGAGTTTCTCTTCTGCATTTACAAGCGGACGACTTTAGGTCATCAAAAGTGGAAGAGGTGGATAAGTCATAACTTTATTTCTTAGGGCATAAAATTACCGTCTAACATACCTAACAGAGAATCCGCTATTGATATCTGTGTTACCCTGAACTGAATACTTCTGGTATGATTAAAAGTTTTGTTGATGCCTTAACAACATATAAAAAAATGTATGTCAAATTCACTTCGATAGCCGTCATTTCCTTGTAATCCTGTTCAGCTCAGTTTCTGAGACAGTCGCCATTAGAGTTTAAGAATTCAGTTATGATCAGATTGTGAGCACTTTTCATTTTGTGTACGATTTGTTTAATAAAATGTCAGCATAGTGATTCCGTATACACGGTGTTTATATAACATACATGCATATATGATGTTCATCCTACCTCCACTTCAAAATAACATGATATGAAAATAATGCGTCGATGTTTAGTGATAGAATGTTCGCCAGGCACGCACGTGGTCCGGGTTCGATTTCAGGCAGGCACAAACCTAAACCTCCCTTACTGTTAGTAAGCCCGGTAAAGAGAAAGGAATGAGCGCAAAAGAAAAATAACTTCAAAGCTCAAGCTCGAGGCCCTGTGTTCCACTCGGAACTCAAAGAAATGGAAAAAAAGGTATGTGTTGCTACGTTCTTTATTATGTTTGATTTCACCGACGACAATGAATTAAACGCCCTCGATTTCAGTAGGTAGGCATTACACTAATCAAAAACTAGTGTCACTGAAGGTGTGTCCCCTAGTAGTAAATATGTATTTAAGTGTTGTTTTTCAGGATTTCATCGTGAGCTGACATTGGTTGGAGAACCACTGGAAAACCTGCAGGGAGTACTGGACAGCCGTTTCGTCCTAGGTTGGGACTCTTCACAGTGCGCAACCGCTAGGGTTCTAACTCCAACATATATATATATGTATCTTCTTACCTACCTCCGATAAAACTAACATGGAAATCACCTTTTCCCCCGCTTATTGGTTGCAGTGATTTCAATTTGATCATTCCTGTCAACAGACATAACATAAAATCTGTCCATCAATACATAACTTATGTTGTATCATTAGTATTACTATGTGACGCACACGGATACGCCACACATTTAGTGGGAAATTCTTCATTTTCACTCTTTATAATCCCGTCACTTATTCATATAAGAAGTAATAACCAGCTTGTGTATCCAGGACTTTGTAGTCTCCTCATATTAATTATTATTATTATTACTTTTGAGATGGATATGCACAATAAAAGACGAACCGAATAATACTAGTAATAATAACACAAGGGTCTTAGCTACTAAACTCTTCTAAGTGGTAGTCACAGTTGTCGCGTAGACGACACACACACACACGCATAGAACATGACACCATCCATTCATTCAAGTATGATAGATTAGGATGATATTATTACTGTTATACGTCAAAGACAAAAAGAAATTATACATATATTTATCCTTTGTTATGTTCTCCTTTTCCTTCCTTCTTTTTTCTCGTATGATTCTTTGATGTTACTTTTGTTCTGCTTAATGCTTAATTAAATCAAGGCGAAACCATATGACTCAACTAATTTATACACAAATATTAAAAATATGCAATAGAAGTTTATAATTTCTGGAGTATTGTTATTAATTCATAGTAGTTATAGTAAAGAAATCTCTTCTTCGAGGTAGTAGGCTTTTTTCTTTCATTCGTCTGTAGTAAATATTTTATTAACTTTGTTGTTTTATTCAGAGGTGAATACAGCGGACTTATTAAAATTACTCTCTTAAACTACTTTCAAGAATTAGATGGTTGGAAGTAGTTGGTAGGAAGCCTTGCCTCGCCTAGGTTTCATGCATGTTAGCACTCACCACTAGTCAACAAGGAGAATCCGCAATCTTAAGGGAAGTCATGTGGCTTCTGAGATTCAAACCCGCGTCAGCCAGTGCTTCAGTCAGAGGTGTTACCACTGAGCTGTTTGGGTGACATTAGTTCCTTCAGGGTTGCGGATATGCCTTACTGACTGAATGGTGAGTGCCAACATGCACGAAACCCCAGTCAGGCAAGGCTTCCTGCCGATTGACTCTGACTATCTAATATCAACAATTCAAAGTGCAACGAGCCACCTAGTGACATGGTGGCCACATTGCAAACTTGACTGATAGAATTCAGTCTGCATCAAACAAAAGGCTAGACACATTAGACTAGTTACTAACTAGTGTTAAATCAAAGTACTTTCGAGTATATTTAATAGTACCAGGCTGCATTTATGATGTAAAGCCTGAAAAACTCGTTACTAATAGATGAGCATACCAGGGGAATTTAAGCAGTCATTCATTTCTTTTCCATTTAGATTTTGTACTTTATTACGCCTTTTCCTAAACGTTTATTCAGATTCATTGAACTGTATACTACTGATTGATTGAGATGAATAGTTTTATACCACTCACATATCAAACAGTAGTGTTTGTTAGCCATATCAAAGTGATGTACATACAAGACGGCCGCTTCGCTCGTTTTGAGCTGAGTTCATCAGCCGTGTACATTGTGCTTCAGTGTTTCAGTGGTAGACTGTTCGCCAATAATGGATGTTGTCCGGGGGTTCGACTCCGGCCGACGCACTCTTAAAACCTGAAATAGCCGGCAATAACCCCGAAAAGAGGGAGGGTTAGATGTGAGACTAACAACCCCACCTCGTAGAAAAACATAACATCACCAGTGAAACTTCAAAGATCAGGCTTGAAACCTTATGTTACACTTGGAATGCATAAGAATAAAAACGACTTATAAAGTTAACCTGGTAGTTAAACTTTTTGAAATATGTCTTTATTGGGAGACTACTATTCATGTAATAAGTGAGGGAAAATATAGGCCTTCCAGTAACGTAACTCACGTGACAGACCACTTGACTAGGAATTTAGAGGTCATTGGTTTGAATCCTTGCACAATATTGACTTTTATTTTATCTCTGATCATCAATCATAGTTATAATATTATTATTCCATTAGGTTCCAAGTAGAACATAGGGCTTCAACAACACATCTCCACTTTGGTTACAGGATTTCATCATGAGCTGACATTGGTTAGAGAACCATTGGAAAACCTGAGAGTACTGGATAGCTGTTTCGTCCTAGTTTGGGACTCTTCACCAGTACGCACCCACCGCCAGGGTACGAACCCAGGACCTTCTGGTTACAAGGCGAGCTCGTAGACCATTACGCCACTGGGACCCGATCAAACTTTGTTCTATTTTCTGCTGTCCTCTTTAGCTGGGCCCACGATTGCCCATAATCTCTTATCTCCTTCTCGTACGATTTCCCCCTTGTTACCTCAGACGTCCCACTCGTTGTTTCCCATTCGGGTTCCACTTCGTCGAAGGCCTGCATTGAGCGCGATGTCATTCGACAGTCTCCTCAGCGTGTGCCCAGTCGATCTCCATTTTCTCCTACGTATTTGTTGAACGATATGTCAATCATTATGATATTACATTATTATTCCCTGTAGTTCTGAGCAGATCATAGGGCCCCAGCAACACATTTCCACTTCCCTATGTTATTCGCTATTTTTTTGGCTGACTCTACGATTGTTCATAACCTTTCATTTCCCCCTTACATATGCGTCTCCACATCACTGTCTTATGCCCGATTAGTCGTTTCCCATTCAGGTCTCACTCATGGGCCTGGTGCTCGATGGCACTCAATGGTATCACCCACTATACTTTTATAAATTAATTTAGAGGCCATATTAGTTCTACTTGAGAATTCAGTTGATTACCCTCAGAAATGAACACCCTTTTGAGCAACAATATTTTTGGCTGGGAAACTGCTGACTGAAATAAAAGCATCACACTGGAGTAATTCTATCGCACTAATCTTGTCAAAATGCTCTTTAAGTGTGTGTGTGTGTGTGACAGAACATAAAGGCATTCACGGATGAACCAACAGAAACAATGACATGTAGGTTAGCACACAATACATACATAAGCACTTAAGTTATTTTTCAACTTCTTTATCGATTGCATACTGCCTGATAGATTATTCATATATACATATATATATACTCATATTCAGCGAAATAACTCTGAAAGACATTTTGGCAACAGTTAAAATGCGGGTAATACTGACCCTGTAATTTACTCAAAAATCAACACCATTTTTGACATGATGATGTTTTCACTCATTTGAAATGCTCAAATACATCTTATCATTGTTCTATGTGTGTACAGTTAATTATCTATTTTTCTTAAAATTTTGATACTGTGAACATAAACTGATCATCACACTAGTGTTAAATTATTTATCACTAGGGTAGGTAGTTAACAGAAACAAAACAACAAAAATTATTGTACATTGAACTGAGATAACTTTTGTTTTAATGTATATTTTACAGGGGTTAACCACATTTCATTTTCTTCTTTTTTTCACTTGTTCTACCGACAATTATTTTATTTGTGTTAGTATTGTATTCACTTTTGTTTTAAAAAGGTGAACAGTCAAAAAATGCGCCAAAAAACTTGTTTAAATTTATTATTAGTAATACTGTTCACTACATTGTAGGTTTCTCTCTCGGTGTCTTATTTTCTCAAAAAGAAAGAACTTCAAAGGAGTTAGTTACACTGATAAATAAAATGATTAATGTAGGCCTACGAGATAATGACTATTTCTCAGTCGACACAGCACAGCTATATAAATAAATAAGTAAATAAATAAGAGAACAATGAACCGAACAAGGTAAAATTATATTAGATACATATATCACTGAAGTACTGGGTACTGTATTTGTGTGTGTCTCACTTTCTGCTCACCTTTAATTTAAAGGTAGTCTACAAAGTAGTATCTAAGCCTAGGTGACCATTATGTTTAGTTAAACAAATGAAACACATAGATCAATGCCTACGTCTTTTTCAAGGCAGATGGCGTTAGGAATCGACAATGAAACCCAAAGAACATCTGAAAATCATTTCATCCTCGTCTGACACCGATCATCAGTGGAGTGCATTCATGACATATGTTAGATTTCGCAGGACAGTGTGTATTCTCAAGTGGTTGTCTAATTGGGGTAACGTCTTTTTACTGTAATCTGAAGGTTCTGGGTCTAACGTACTAATTTACAATGGTTCTCTAACTTATACCGGTTCCTGAAGAAATTCCAGTAAATTTAACACCCGAATATGTCTTTCCGTGTAGATACTGTTTACTAATAACTGAAACCTACCCAACATAAAATCACCAAAGCAATATTTTTGAAATAGCCCTCGAACTCTTAACCAAAATTACATTTACAAAACAATATTATATTACTTAAATAATCAAAAAAAAAGAGAGTAGAATTAATTAATATTGCTAAACTTACATAGCCATGTTTATCAGAAATATTGTTAGTCAATTTAAGTTTATGAAATGAAATAATCTTTTGCATCCATTGTTCACCAGTTGACGGAGAGTCTGGATGTATATACATACGTTTAGGCATTTCAGGATCTGCTTTACCAGCAACTGTCCATAAATTATTTTGAAATTTATATCTACAATCATCTAAGGCGACAATATCCATTAAAACAATATATTTGGCGCGTTTCTCCAGACCAGTAATTTTCACTTTGAATGGCGGGAACATTCGTCTGTATGAAGGGAGAAAAATAATAATAAAATAGAATAAACTAACAATAACTAAAGATATTATTCAATGACATATAAAACACTAGATAGTTAACTGTTTAATTCTGTTATGCAGCTGCCTGATGTGGAACTTTGTCAACACTTCCTTTCACTACGTTAGGTATCAAGTTTAAATTGGTGCTTGGTAGAAATTTCATGATTTTTTCTAGAAATACAGAGTTGAGAAACCTGAAGAATTTTCCTTCCTTCTATTTAGTAATGACAGATCTCACAAAGGATACAACTTTTATCGATTGTATAGCGTTCCAAGTGGAACATAGGGCTTCAACTTTTGAGCTTTGAATTTTCAGTAGTGGTTATGTGTTGTATATACGGAGTGGAGCCCCTAGTGTTACATCAAACCCTTCCTCTTTTCTAGACTTACCACCAGCTACGTAAGGTTTTAGGAATTCGTCAGCTAGGAGTCGAATCTGGACAGCGTGCATGGTTGACAAACATTCTACCAATAAACCACCGAGGATAAAAGTAGTAACTGTTAATGCTCAGGAGTTTATCACTTGTGAATGCTACTCTCAGAATGCCAAGTTAGGACGAAAACTTATCCAGTTGAAGTGACTTACACAGAGTGAATCTTCAAGTTAACGTAGTCACAACCGAAGAAAGATTTGATCACTCCTTGATAACTTCCCATGAATTAAAAATATTGTCATTTCGCAAGAATTATTATTCCAAAATACTACCCTATGAGCAAACACTTCCCTCCTTAGCTGAGACTTACTGTCAACATTCAAATAATCCTTTTTATAAGGAAATAAGCCAGAAATAATACTCACTTCCAAGCATTCGGTTGGTTACAAGTTTGATTAGGGACAGAAGACGTCAGACTAACATTTGAAGATCAGTCTGTTGCTCACTAGTGATCGACTACAAAACAAAAGTGCCAAAACTTCTAGTAAGAATTCGTGACCAGTGGGATCCATCAGGTCGAGCATGAGGCCAAAATACTCGCCAATGACACCGGCCGGAGAGGGGTGCTAAACAGTTAGAGTCGAGGTGGGATTGAATTCCTTCCCAGAAGGTCGCCGGTTCAATCTCTAACGGGTGAATACTGATGAAGAGTGACAGACAAACTAGGTTGAAACAACTGTCCAATACTCCCTGCTGGTTTTCCAATGGTTCTCTAACTAATATATCAATCAGTGATCAAATTCGACAAAATATTCACTTTAAAACGGATTCACAGGCAGGAAATTATTTTAAAAAATTATCCTTCATTCAAATTAATTACTTTGCATAATTAGATTTTATTTTGAGTATCATAAAGTTTAGTTAAATGAAATGTAATTTAGAGAAAAGCAAGGGGAAATAAAGCGATAGAAGACAGCTATCTCATGAATCCCAAATTCCCCCGAAATGCTTTGACTTTCTTCACGATCTATAAGTGATTTCAATTCAATTCTTAATTGAATTGAAATCACTTATCCCAACTTTGTTTTTCGTTTTTGTTTTGTTTTTTTTTTTGTTGATAACTCACCATTTTGGGAGTTTATACATACATCCATGTGTCCATTTTTGGTTTTGTTTGTTTGCTACTGGATGTTTCCTCCCAACTTATTTCTCCCAACAACAACAACAAAAGCGTCTAATGAAAGTTCTAATCGGTTACCAGATTCTTTTCATAATGGACACCACACCCTTGATCATTATTGTCTACTGATAAGTTTTCGTTATGGAAACTGATTTTATTACTTCTACTATTATTATTTTGTGAGGGAGAATATACTCCGTCCGCATTTTCCTATATCTATATCTTCTCTTTTTCAGGATAACGTCGAATGCAATTTGAATTCATTGCATAAATGGACATATTTATATGTATAACTGTCTAAGGTTACCTATTTGATGGATAGATAACTAAACTCATGCAAATAAACTGTGAGAAAAAATACACCATAAGGTGAAAGAATAGACAGAGATTATTAATATATGTGTGTGGGAGGATTTAAACGGAAGCAAAGAGTAGGTATATTTTTTATGGTATCATAATTTATTTCCCTTTTTATACTTACAACATTATTCCCTTTTTAAGAGTTCATTATTCCATTAGAGAATGTCACATTCTCTATTTATTGAAAAAATATACAGAAATTAAAGCATGAAACACGAAAGTGATAATGGAAGTTTCTACACTTTTCTATCGTTTGTTTCTCTGTTGTTGTTTTTTTGCTTCTCTCTCTTTCGCGCGCGCCCGCGCCCTTTGTTGTTTAAGTGAATGTATATATATTTAACCCGCATTATTCAAACTTTATGCGTCGTGATGCCTACTGTTTATTATTCATCAAATAGATTCTACGCTTTTTCGTGTCATTCTCATACCTCTTACTCTCTCTCTCGCTTGCTCTAAGGGATATATGCATCACTTAAATTCATCACATTATCTCATGTCTATCAAAATAAAACTTTGCACCGATTACTGCGTTTGATTAATTTATATGCGATACGACGTATTATAAACTGGTGGATACACACATTAGAAGAAATCACTCTCTCTCCGGTTTATTCATCGAATAGATAAACCGTTAAAATAATAGTATCCTCTCTCTTATACGCATTTCATTTTCTTTAATGGGCGTCATCAATTCTATGCTAGAACAATTTACTTTTTTTCTCTCTGCTGCTTTGTTCAAACTCGGTTATTATTTTATTCCTCATTTTGTGTGTGTTGTATCTATCTGCTTACCACACTTAAATGAACCCTTCCTTCTGCTTGGTATTGTGTGTGTGTGTGTGTGCGTATGTGTTCTTTTCAGGCATATTTCTATGGTCACCCTTCAGTTATGTGTTTAATAACAAAGGTATCAGGTATCGGTAAATAGAAATTATTATTTTTGTCCGCTCTCCCTTTTCGATGGAAATGTTATTACCCTTTTAGCAAAATGATGAAGGCGTTTATCGCCTCTGATATGTATATATAGAGAGTAATAATAGTGGTTTCTATTAAATGGAGGATTTCATCATGAGCTGACATCAGTTAGAGAACCACTGGAAAACCTGGGAGTACTGGACAGTTGTTTCGTCCTGGTTTGGGACTCTTCACAGTACGCACCCCCCGGGATTCGAACCCAGGACCTTCTGGTTACAAGGCGAGCTGGTAGACCATTGAGCCACTGGGACCCTATCCAATATAATATTATAATAATATAATATTATTATATTATATATATAAATATATTATATATTATAATACTATACTGTGTGAGAACTAGTTTTGAATATCCTAATTTTAAAGTCAGTACTTTTGTATGGAAGACTAATAATCATTCGAACAGTTAGTATGGCTGAGAAGAGCACTGATTTTGTCGTTCGAGAATATCGCTAAATTTAAGACATCTATTACATATCCATCTGTAATAATTTGAGCAAAATTGTAAGGATAAGAAGCAGAAATAGAGCTAGAAGTCGTCAAGATGTCCATCTTCGAATGTATATATATATATGCAAGACGATAGTCTAGTCGCATAGTAATAGCTGTTTCTAACGAATCTCAAGATTCATACAAACCACATAGATATGAAGAATATATGGGCTTCATGCGCTATGGTATGAATAACAGCGTGAGCAATTCGGTTGTACACTGTTGTTATGTTTATTATTCTCAAGGAATAAGAACAAGATATACCTGAATATTATTTATTATTATTATTTATTTGATTCCTTTACGTTCCCAGTGGAACATACAGCTACAAGCTAGAGCTTTGCAGTTTTGGTGGCAGTAATGTTTAGTTCTACGGGGTGGGTGGGTTTGGTAGCCTCATGTCCCCCAACCTTCCCTCTTTAGCTGTCTTATTAGCAGCTTAGCGGACTGCGTCGGCCTGGGATTTAACCCCGAAACACCCGTGAGGTTGGCGAGCACCCAACGCTGTACCACCTACTCACAAATATACCTGATTACTATAACATAAATGAAGGTTTGCCCTTCAAAATAAAATTGAAAATTGCTTATTTTTGACAGACTTTTTATTTAAAACTTGGTTATTGAATGTGGAAGACATGAAGAGGTTAACCGTCTATGACCACAGATGTCTGTGCTCCATCTCCCATATTAACTGGTATAATATGGTGAGCAACAGTGAGGTTAGGCATTGAGACTGTGAAGCTATATCGGTAGAGATGGCTAGGAAACGTTTTGTGCTTGCCGAGCCATAGCCTTTTACGTCGATCAGTGTTACGTGACATAGAGTTGAGTTGGAAGAAAAAAAGAGCTACGGATGGTCAAAGAGGAATCTGACATCAGCGCATGAAGTATTTGAAAGTTGGTTTAGGGCAGCCATATAGGGAGGTGTAGACTGCCCGTTTGGGGATCGTGGGGTACTCAGAACTAATAGCTGAAGAGAGTTGGTGATATGGCTCAAAATAATTGTCAGTAGCATATATGTACACCATGATGATCACAAGAGGTCAGTGAGAAAACTCCTTATCAACTTTTCATTACCATACGAAATTAGAAGATGAATACGAAGTGCCATAATAATCTCCCCTTTTTTTCACTACACTATACTTATTACTTTTTTTTTCTTTGAGATTAAACTCCACCTTTAATTAGTCCCAAATGAATATTACGAGAGAGAAAAAAAACCCGAACAGAATAGGGCGACTTCTTCGGCAGACGAAAGAAATAGAACATTAAATTGAGCAGTTATCTGTGTATAACCATTCTGTCTCTGTTTTTCCTTTTTTTTCTCTACCTACCCAACTTTATATTCATTATCTCATATTGTTTCTCAGGTCTCTATCTTGTTTGCTTGCCATTTCATCTACTCTCTTTCAGCTGGGGTGGGGGAGTGGCGGACAGATGGGGCGAAACAACGACGACGACACTTTCAAGTTATATAGTTAAGGTGTGACACTTAAGCGATAAGTGAAGTTAGAGTAGAAATAGTTTTAGTTTTATATATACAAATGTACATATCTACATATACGACTTAATGTTGTTTTTTGAGTG